ATATAAAGTCCCTACCTGTCTGAAAAGGCTGAACTGGTTCAAAGCCTCTAATCACATTATGCATCTTTCTAGTGAGCAGCCCACTTCCTAAATCATGTCATTTCATTAACATAAGCTCAGGTATGATCCAAGGAGCTAATAAATAACAGAGACCTTCCTGTTGCTTCCAAAATTCCCACGATTTAATGTCTTCCTCCTAGGAACCTGGAATAAGGGCAAATTCTTCATTATTCAACAAACTGAAATGCACATTTAATATGGGAATTGGGTAGTCACAGGTGATTTTGGAAAGAATAGTCAGGAAAAAGTAGCCAGACTGCTATGTAGTATAAAATAAACTGAAGGTATGGAAGGCAAGAAGTGTGTAAGAAACTGATCACCAACAAGAGGATAAAATGACTAGGACGTGCTGGAATATAGAGCTGAGGAAAGAAAGACGTACAAGTAACTTAGCAAATGCCTTCTTCCACTAGGAGCAAATACTTAGGAGCTTGCTTTGCTAATGCAGTCTTATTTGAGTCATCCTATTGTTAGTGTTCTTAGAGTCAATGTAATATTTAACATGTTGGTCCTTCTTAAAATTATTCTCACTTACCTTTGATTCCTCCACATTCCAACTTATTTTATTGTTTCCAACATTTCCCTTATAACGAAGTCCTCATTGCCACTTCTTTATGTGAGTTAATTATGCCAAAAACGCAAGTACATCTGACTTAAAAAAGATTAAGGACGTCTATGGTAGACTAGGTGGGGGACGGAGGGACGGAGGGACGGAGGGAGGGACGGAGGGACGGAGGGAGGGACGGAGGGACGGAGGGAGGGACGGAGGGACGGAGGGATGGAGGGATGGAGGGACGGACGACACAGGAGAGAATTTCACAAACAGCCTTTTAAGAGTATGTCTGGACTCAACCAAATCACCTAAGTAAAACAACTTGATAGCTAGAAATTGGATAAATAAGATGGCAGAGATGCTTTGGGTTAACAAGGGGCTTTAGTTTTAACAGATGACCAAGAATCAGGACTAATACCTTGAGCCTGTGCCACTTCATTAGAACTGTAATTTCCACACGAAGACCCATAAAAGGGAAAGCCCTCATTTAAAAGGGAGTTGGGTAAAGGGGACGAGAGACACTCAACACAAGAGAAGGAAAACAGCAAGCAAAATTGTCTTGGCTTGGGATCTTTAAGGGTAGGGACAGTTTTCCCTGAGAAGTCGTAACAATCAGCTTGGCTTCGTGAGTTTAGAGTTTCATTTAACATTACTGCAGAATCTATAAAACTTCAAGCCAAGAATTAATGTAATGTTGTTCCAAATTGATAAAGCCCTTGCGACCCCTGGCAGAAGGAACACAAATCCATGCCTCAGAAACACACCCTCATCTCATGCTAGCAGAACTCCTCATGATAAAGTCTTGCCAAACATGGGCTTACAATACAAATTATAGAACAAAGGAGGAAACAAATTATGAGCTAAAGTACATAGAAATCAACAGTGAATTAAACTACCAAGAAGTGCTACTGGCTATAGGGTATAAAGTGTTATGTTCAGAGATTAAAAGGCAAAAGAAGATCAAAAACAGAAAGGGGATTAATCATACATGAAAAAGGACAAAATGGAATTCCAAATAATCAAAAAATGTTTTAAAAGTCCTTAAACAAGACATTAGAAAGAGCTAAAAAAAAAAATGAGAGAACTAGGAAACAAGTTACCTAGGACACAGCATACAAAAACAGCAATATGAAAGAACTTAAGACATACAAGACTGGTTAAGAGTGTATCATACATACCATATACCTAAGGGGAGGGGAAAAGAGTTGTCAGGACCAGAAATGGGGCAGAGTCAAAATTAAAACTAGACAATTTAGATTTTTCTAGAATAAAAATATGAATCAAAGTTTATAAAGGACAATAAATCTGAAGCAAAGGAAAAAAGTATCTAGACACATCATAGAGACTAACATCTAGATAAAATAAATTATCTTAAAGGCATTCAGAAAAAAAGGCAAATTACTTTCCAAGGAATACAATTAGATTGGTTAGACTTCTCAAAAACAGTATGAAAGCTAGGAAACAGCAACATAACCTAGTTTGTAAGTAGCGAGGAGAGGAGGAACTGCAGACTTAGAATTTTATACCCAGACAAACTATCATCATTTAGGTAAGACAGAAATAACCCTGATGAAATTTTGCTCCTGGACTTGTGGAAGCCATCTTGCCTCCCCACAGGGCCTGACAATGAAATACAGATGAAAAGAAAAACTGTGACACTTTTGAGCCCTACAACCTTAATGCCAGCCATAATCCCTGACATCTGAGTTCCCTGAAGCAATCTCTTTACCAGTTTAGTTTTTTTAATTAAGAAAAATGGAACATATGTTAAAACAGAGTTATTGTTAACCTATATAACCTACTCCTTCCCAAAAAATAATCACAGTGTAACTTGTTCAGGAAATATGTCTGAAAGGGAACTTTACGTAGAATTTGAAAATACCTAAGAAGAAAAATAATCAGTTTAGGAGTCTGTAGAAAAGTATCTAAGATAACAAAAGTTGATAAGTTAAAAGGAGGCCTGGAAACCAGTCTGAACAGTGGGTAACTTCATTTATGTTTTTAAGACTGTAAGTCAGTACAGTGTGAAAGAATTGGCAGGACATAGTGCCTGGAGTTAACTGAGAATACTGGAACACTATCCTAATTTTAATTTAAGAAAATTTAAAATAAACCAAAGAGGTTACTGCGTGTCTGCAATTGACAACTATAGAGCAGACTCTTCCAGATTAGCTCAATCTAGCCTTGAGCTCTTACTACTTTCATAGTTGTATATAACCAATAGCAATGCAAAACAATTCATGCCTATAAACATGCAAACAAATTCATTCTCTTGGAATTTCAGTTGACTCCCCCATGAAAAAGCCAGTTTTCTGTTTTAATTCATTTCATCCTACCTGTTTACATTGCATAAATGTTTTTTTGGATTCTACTTTGAACCAGTTTTAACGTGTCTGGTTCTCTCATTAACAAACATGAAAAAATTCTTAAATATGGATGTATATAAAACTCATGATTTTACCTTTTATGTTTTAACACCAACAAAACAAGGCAATGTTTCTAATAGAAACCATATTTCTGAGGTTTAGACAAGTTGTAAAATTTTGTTCTGAGCCAGCTTCTTCATCTAATCAGAAACTTACAGATTTCATTGAAATATAATTTGTTTCATTTAAAATGCATTGATTGAATCTTACAAATTTTATTCTGATTAAGAAACAATTTAATAGTAACTCCCTCAAATCTGCAAAAAATAACTGCTATGTATTTTAATAGGCTTTATTAACTCACCTTTCAGACAATGATGTCCTTAGCATATAAATTGGAACAAGACAAAAGGCCTCTTTGGCCTTTTAAGACATACTACAAGAATCACTTTATGGACAGTCTCTCAGAAATGCTTTCTAGCTTATTACTCAACAAAAAATCCCAAATGTGTGCAATTATCACAGTGAGCTTGAGTGATAATTTTCCAACAGGTAACATAGGCAAAAAAAAAAAAAAAAATGTGTGTAGTATAATATGCATTGGAATGAAAGTCCATCTACCAAATTTTATTGTCATCCCTAAGAACTTTCTCAAATGTGCCAAATTTACTCAAATTCTTAAGTTGTAAATCCTTTGTGTCTTTATGCCTTCTCACCGCCCTTGCAACTGATTACCTTGCCTCTACCACAATTGAGCTGTCTGGAGAAGAGGAAGGAGTCAAGGAGGAAGCAGTCAAGGAGGAGGCACAAGAGCCAGGGGAAAGTTTTGTGGTCATTAATGCTTCCTGGACCACAAGTTTCACTACTTTAAGTACCATTTATCCTTTTGTTCAAAGGCAAATGAAAATATTTCATTTGGTATATAAAAATCTTATACAGTTTTAAATTTAAAGTGAAATTCATGTTGCAGAAGGAAGAGATAAAGTTACAGAAAATTTTCTATGGCAATTCAAATACACATGGGTTATTGAAACGAAGTTATACAGTGTCTTTCCTAAACAGGTTTTAAAGAGGGGGAAAAAAAGCTTCCTGGGCACCCAGATGGCTAGGAAGGCTTGCCTCCTGTTGGTCTATAATCTTAACAGAAACTATTACTTAGATGTTATAATTCATCTTAAAATAATACCCTTTAAGCACTTAGTATTTTAATAGTTAACATCATTTCCAGTCCTAAAATAACCTTACAAGTATTCATTTCTTTATTTTCACAGGTAGGGAAATGAACTTAGAAATTGAGTAAGTTAAAAACACGACATCACTAGTAATTATAAAGAAAGATCTGGGCCTAGGTCTGTTCAACTTCATAGCCTATTTCTATTATACAATACCATTGCTTTGCAATGAATTTCACTAAGTCTCAAATTTGGACTGCAAACAAATTTAGTATCTATTACCATATTTATATCATTTTACTTGGTAATAGAAGGTAAAAAAATAAACATGCTCCAAATATTACAATAGGTCTTTTGCTATTCTGTGTTTATTTTGGTGAAACAAATGGGAACAACAATTGTCATCTCAAGATGATTTACTTTAAGGGCTATGAAAATTTAATATAGTATATACTAAAAAACAAACCTCTTCTGAAACTTTAACACAAAATTGAGTACATTGAACCAGATTATATATATACCCTTTACTTCTGAGAGATTTCTCAGGCATTTTTAATATAACTGCATTTTAATTTTCATTAAAGTTTCATTCTTATCTATACTGTAATAGCATTACTACATTCTTCTCCAAATATCTCTTAACACATTATGGTAGATAACTATAGCAAAAGATATGTTCCAGAACAGTCTTAAACCATAAAGTTCCTGAAACAAATCACCATAACACCTTTAGGTCATCGTGCACATTTTAAGTAATCTGACATTTAAACAGAATTGCATCAAAATTCAGCAAATGAACCACACTACAGTGTTTGTTCCTTCTATATAGTCTCAAGTAAAAAGACTTACCCCATGTTTCTTAGCAGCTGTGACAACTTTAAGGAGGGTATCTTCCTCAACAAATGGCCTCACAGCATCGTGGATAATCACTATTTCTGGCTTAGAGGGTTTACAGTTGAGCTGATCTTCCGCCAGTGCTTTTAGTCCATTGAAAATTGACCTGTGGCGGGTCACTCCAGCTTCGACCAGTGAGATGCGTTTATGCTGATACTTCTGAATAATACTTTTCATTACTTCCATGTTCTCTCCAGTTACTGCCACAACAATGTCCTTTATCCAATATACTCTAAAAGGAAAGTATGTATATTTCATAAGTTAATTCTTAGACAACTAAAGTGAGTAACAAAATTGAATCACTAGTATTGGTATATATTTACATAAGGAGACTAAAAACTACAAGTTAATATGTCAGTCTTATGCATTTTTATTACATCTAGTTAAGAGATTAATGAAAAAGAATTGGTGAGCATTTAATACTAAAGCTCTAGTGTTTCACATTACATAGAATATTTTACATGATGTAGTATATGTATAGTGTCTAGTATACAGTACTACAAGATACCATTTTTTACTTAAGCTAAATTGGAATTAGAGTATCAGATTGTATGAGAAAATAGCCTATATTAAGAATATGCTTTTAAACTTTTTTCCAAATACTTTTCCCTTCAATGAAATAATTCAAAGCACTTTTGAGATCCAAAAGTTGACTGTCACTTTCAAGAAATCCACTAAGTTGACAGCCAACCACTTGAATACCAACAAAGCTGGAAAACTTAGCTAACACAAGCCTTACTAAATATGTAACTTAAATGGGAGAAATCATAGCAATTAATATTGTATAAATAAGGTTTAAGTAAAATGTAAAAGCCTACAATTCATGAAATAGGATTGTTCTATTGAATCATATACAAAGCAATGTTTTTGTTGCAAAACATTTTCAAGACAGAGTCACATTCTGTCCCTTAGGCTGGAATGCAGTGGCATGATCTCGGTTCACTACAACCTCCACCTCCTGGGTTCAAATAATTCTTATGCCTCAGCCTCCCAAGCAGCTGGAATTATAGGCATCTGCCACCATGCCCAGCTATGGTTTTTATTCTTTTTTCCCCCATAGAGATTGGGTTTCACCATATTGGCCAGGCTATCCTAGAACTCCTGACCTCAAGATACCCGCCTGCCTCGGCCTCCCAAACTGTTGGGATTACAAGCATGAGCCAATCCACCCGGCCTATAAAACATTTTCTTAAAGAAGGACCTACTGACATACCAGACTGCAAGTAGTCCACATTACTGAGTTGCTGCTGCATTCAAGTCTGGCAGATTTGTGTTGAACACCAGTGCTAATGGAGACAAATATCACTGTAGACTCAATATTCTACAGCCCAAAAGCCCAGACCAAGACAACTATCTCTGATCCATGATATAAACTCTGAATAAAGACTTAATTTTTAATTTTTAGCCTATGAGATTCTATACTTTCATGCTAGAACAGTTAAGTGTTTAGAATATTTTTAAAGATATGGAAGGGCCTGAAAATTACTGCATAAGGATTACCTTTACTGAAAAATGAAAGTTAACATTGGGTTGCTTTGTTATTCAGTAATGTCCCCTACCTCTTGTTATTGAACAGACCCTTACCACAGCCCAAAACCCCATTCTGCCTGTAGCTAAAACAAGATTACACTGATGAATAAAACCAAGAGCTACTTTACATGTGGCACTGTCTTTTCATTTTAAGCACATTTCTTTAATGAATGTTTACTGAGCGCCAATACATTATCAGCATCAGCCAGGCATGGCTGCTCACGCCTGTGATCCCAGCACTCTGGGAGGCTGAGGCAGGTGGATCACTTGAGGTCAGGAGTTCGAGACCACCCTGGCCAACATGGTGAAAACCGTCTCTACCAAAAGTATAAAAAATTAGCTGGGTGTGGTGACACATGACTAATCCCAGCCACTCGGGAGGCTGTGGCAGGTGAATCGCTTGAACACAACAGGCAGAGGTTGAAAGGAGCCAAGATCGTGCCACTGTACTCTAGGCTGTGCAACAGAGTAGGACTGAGACAAAAAAAAAAAAGCACTGAGGATACAATAGAAAAAAGCCCAGGCATGAAACAAAAACACCAATCAATAAATGCAAGCTGTCAAACAGAATGAACTCCAAGTTCAGGACAGCCTGTAGGCTGAGTAGCTGAAGAGTCTGAAGGAGGGTTTGAGAATGTTCTCTAATAAAAGGGAGTCTGCACTGAAATACAAGGGGTGGGTGGCAGGTAAGCAGGCAAAGGGGCTAGGAGTGAGAGAGAGAGGAGTGGTCCAAGTAGAGGCCATGGTAAGGTCCTCACGGGCTGAGAGGAAGCAGAGCTGGAGTTCCCCAAGCAAGGAAAAGGGCCCATGCAGAACCTGGAGACCCTATCCTAGGGGTTTTAACCTTTAATCCTAAAAAGAGGATAGGCACCCATAGAAAAGCTTTAAGCAGGTGAGTGCACTCATGCTTAAAGCCAATGTTCCCTCATTATGTTCTAATAGGAGTTTTTGGATAAACAGAATAATGAACCCAGAAAGATGTGCACTTCCTTACTCATGAAACCTGTGACTATGCTACCTTAAACGGCAAACAGGACTTTATGGAGGTGATTAATGATTTTGAAACAGGGAAATGGTCCTCAATTATCTAGGGGGATCCAATGTAATCACAGGAGTCCTTATAAAGGAAAGGAGGCCATAGGAGAGTCAATGGAGAATATGTGATGACAGAAGCAGATGTCAGACTGATGCAGGGCCCCAAGCCAAAGAACACGAGTGGCCTCTAGAATTTTATTTTTTGAGACAGTCTCACTCTGTCACCCAGGCTGGAGTACAGCGGTGCATTCTTGGCTCATGCAACCTCACTCCCAGGTTCAAACAATTCTCCTGCCTCAGCCTCCCAAGTAGCTGAGATTGCAGGCACCTGCCACCACACTTGGCTAATTTTTTTTTTTTTAGTAGAGATGAGGTTTCACCGTACTGTCTAGGCTGGTCTCAAATTCCTGACCTCAGGTAATCCACCCACCTCAGCCTCCCAAAGTACTGTAATTATAGGAGTGAGCCCCATACCTGGCTGGCCTCTAGGATTTAGAGGAAGGCAAGGAAATGGATACTCCCCAGATCTTCCAAAAGGAATGCAGTTTTGCCCACACCTTGACACAGCTCAGTGAAACTAAACTGAGACTACTGACCTCCAAAGTTGTAAGAGAATGTGGTTTTAAGCCATTTAGTTTGTGGTAATTTTAATAGCAGCAATAGGAAACACAAGAGCATAAATTTTACTCTGACTGCAGGGAGGAAAAAGGATTCGGCAAAGAGAGAAACGATACAGAGAGACCAAGTGGAGGCGGCTGCTATAATCTGGGCAATGCAATGATGGTGGCCTGGGTCCCATATGGAGCTTGTATTTGGGATTTTAGAGATAGTATATTCTAGAGGTAATCATCTACATAAGTAAGGAAGAAAAAGTAACGAAATAAGACAAGTATCACATAACAAAAGCCAATATAAATTAAGTACCATATCTTAAGCATTTTTCATAGTTTAACTCTTGTAATCTTTACAATACCTCTACACAATCTCTCAAATAAGAAACAAAAACATTAGAATATATAATCACATTTTTCGTATACTACTATCTCACTCTAAAAGAATTGAAGCAGTAAGAAATGTTTACCATTTTTCAAGATAATGCATTTCATTTTATTTCCTCTTCTAGAATGTAGGCTCTATAATAGAAACAATGTCTGCTTCATCCATTGCCTTACACCTAATACCTAGTGGCTGCTCAGTATGTATTTGTTGAATAAATGACCCTGATCTGTCTCATCTACCGGGGCAGTGTAACATCTTACAACACAGCATAGTCTCAAGAATTATGAAAACAAAGGAGGCTCTCATTACCCTGACTAGCTACAAATATATAAATAAATCCAAGAATGAAAAAAGCATTCACTATGCAATGTGATTTTGTTGATTGTTTTGCTTCTAGGTATTTGACTCTCTGCTCTGATTTCTACATCCTAAGGCTCCTTGAGAGCCAGGATTGCTTTCATGTTCCACACACCTTGAGAGGATTTTAATCACAATCAAACAAAAGTAATACCATTCAGAACTCCAAAGAATCATCTGTGGTAATTAGTACAGGCAATGAAAGTGATTCCAGAATAAGACTGGACATGGGTTATTTCCTAGGCCTTTCATTGCAAATTTAGCAATTGCAGAACTTAAACTGCACTCGCAGTTTCAAATTGAAGTTCTCAGCAAGTGGTAAGTGACAGTTCTTCAATCCCTCTTACATGTGGGATTTCCCAAGGTTCTGGCTCCACTGCCACAGCTGTGACCCAGAGTCATCTCTAGCCTAGAGATGACTCTCAGCTGTTTCCTCTTACTCTTATCTCAATACAATCCATTCTCACCACTTCTCGATGATCTTTCTCAAGCACAAATCTGAGGTCATCCCTTGCAAGGCCCTTCAGGACCTGACCTCAGCCTACCTCATGCACATCATTTGGTCTCTTCCATTCCCTCTTACTCTCATACCAAACTGCTCCCTGAAGGGAAAGCATCTCTCACACTCAGTTATTTGCATATACCGCTTACCTGGCCTCTCAACACTGACGCCATCCCTCTCTCCCCACCGCACCTCCTCAGCTCTTGCCCGAGTTCTACTTACTTACTCATCAGTTTTCAGCTCACAGATGGCCTCCTCCAGCAGGAAGCTATCCCTCACTGTCATTCTGGGTACAACATCCCTGCTTCTCAGCTTGCAGAGTGCTTATATACACAGAGACTCTTTTGAACTATACTGCACTCTGTTTATAACCTTATCTTCCTCACTAGGCTGCCAACTCATAGAAAGCAAAAACTAGGCCCCAGAACTCGGTGCGTACTCAACTTCCAGTAACATAGTAGAAATAACACTTAAGATATATGGAACATTTGTTAGGTCCCAGGCAATGTGTAGAATATTTTGTATTATCTCAATATCCATATCAGCTCTATAAAGCACATTTTCATTATCTCGGCTTTACACATGAGAACACAGGCAGTAACCTGCCCATTATCACAGAGCTTAGAAACTAAGGGACCAAGCTGTGAGCTCAGTCTGACTTTGAAGCCTGCAACTTTAGCCTGTGTAAATGCACCAGCACTGTCTCTGAGAGGAAGGTGTAAAATCCAGGAGAGTAAAAATCATTTTGGATCATTGTATCTACAGCACTTCATTTATATTAAGGTTGAAACACATAACATTTCTGCTTT